TAACCACAAAATTCATATTTTAGTAGTTACCAAATAATTCAATGTACTGGATAACGAGTTCACAGATTAATAACTGAATTATAAGCCTAGGGTTCAAGGGATTTAGGAGTTACTTAGAAGATTCTGGTTCCTCAAAGCAAGATCAAGATCATTAATACAACAACAAATTAACAGAAACAGTCAGACAATTCACAAATCAAAATCTGGCTCAGACCTGGTCCAGGTAAACTCTTCTAGATGCCTCTAGAACTTAGAGCAACTGTTGTATTACTGTTGTATTACTGTTGTTACTGTCACTGTAGTATCATAATGTATTCATAATATAGACTACAGATGCACCAGTATGGGAATTCTGGGCCAACGACTATATCCGATATTTTATATAGAAACTGGGACTAGACTCACCTGGATTAGGATGAGAGAAAATACCATTCATTTGTTAGAGGGTTACAAACACAGTAAAATGAAAATATTTTAGCGCAGCTGGCCAGTATCACCTAAATGCTCTGCCCTTATGGAGCACAATAAACACAGCATCAAATATCAGTTTGCTTTTTTATCAGCAGATTCCGAGATGATTCCAATATCGCAGACAAAAGCAAAAAGTGCCTTATTTCATGTTTTAGGGCAACTAGCTACCATCTCTTGATATTCAAAGGTCTAAGGGGCCACATTTATGTGAGGGCCACATTTAGGCCCCGCCTGCCTTCACATTTTTAACATCTCACTTCGCAACAGGCCCAAGCCTGCAGCTCTAACACTACACCGTGTACCTTTAAGATGGTCCAAGAAAAGTGATAGAGTGTAATAAGTAGATTATTGATGAATAATTTCAGTTCACTGTACATGTGCTGAAGTTTCCGGCCCACACTGTTTGCTATTTTGTTAAGTTAGCATCTTGCTGTTGACCTCAGTGGCTACACTAACTACTCCAGCTTTAAATCACAGTAACACAGGACATTTATTTATTCCATACTTCAGGAATAGTTTGACAGAGCCTGGAAGACGGGAAGATAAAAAAGACTGAAAAATACAACCATTAGCATAATTTGAGTGTGTGGTTTATCTGAATGGCCTGAGAAAGCTAGCTTTAGAAAGCAGTCTGAACGAAGCCTCATATATCATGTTTTGTAGAAGGTTTAGTGTCTAAGCTGTGCAGTATTTCTGAATATGCGACGGTTTTTTTCTGTAAAAAACGAACAATAAGCTAAACAGCTGCTAAATGGATGAAGGTATAACAATAAGAAGGCTCAGTTTTAACCTCCTATGTGTCGTCAAATGTTAATGTCGGTTGTGTTATGAATAAAAAGGCACATATTAGGATCCCCACCTGCGCTGTGTAATGTTTTTGTGGTAACTCAGGTAGAGAAAGGGCTCTTTTTATCGAAACAGGTCGCCAGATTGAGCATGCTGTCAACTAACGTTAGCTACCGTTTAAACACCCAACCGACCGCTGTTTTCATTAATGAAAGACGAATTTCAAAATAAAACCGTTAAATTCGAATGACGTGTTTCTCGGTGGGCTCTGAAGTCTTTCGGGGGTGATCGTTTTGAGCCCCGTAAGCTTGCTCTATTGTTTTGGCTATTGGCTCCGGCGCTACGTGTTCAACTCTGGCCCTGTCAGACGCCGCAAATGACGGCTGGAAAAAAGAAAAACGCCGCCGTTACCTTACAAAGTCCGACTTCTCTTAAATCCTTAACGAGTCGCCGGCGAGAAAACTTCGTGCTTTCCTTTGAGAAGAGCTCCGAGGGGGTCTACCGGCATGCCGTTTCAGCCTCTCAGTCGCTGCCACTCCCTGCACACACACTCATTCACTCACACACACACTCTCGGATGCGAAAAACATGGATGCTGAGCTGGAGCTGAAAGGGGGGAGTGGGGCGCAGGATGCTAACCGCAGCAAGGAGCGATACACCGGAGCGTTATAGAAATGCCTTGTTTTCAGAATAACGGTCCCTTTGGCGGCTCTGGCCCAATTTTTGCTATTGATATTGAGCGAAGTTACACGCCCTCAGAATAAAACTGCAGTGGGGATTTTTTTCCCCTCAGCCGGCGTGAGGAGCCGTAGGCTAATCTCTTCAGACGAGGCCACGTTTTTAGGAGGATAAGCAGTTTACTATCACTTATACTGGAGAAAGGTGTCAAAAGCGGCGTTCTGTCTTTCTGAACGATTTTTCTATCACCCTGTAGAATAAACGAGAGAAAATAATAACAGTGGGGGAGTGTATTATGAATGTAAACACTGTTAAAGTTTATATGTATGAAAACTAACACGCAAAAACCCCGTTTTGAATTCTTTGTTTTTGTGTTGACATATTTACATATAGCAGTTTAGCCCCGCCCACTCATATTGACGTTATAAGGAGTGTTTCACCCTCGACTACTGTAGAATGAGGGGTAATACAGGGCAGCCAATCAGAATAGATGTCATTTACATATACAAGCCTTAAAGGCACAATAACAAAAACGGCCTGTTCAGTTCTAAGGGATAAAGAGAGGCTGGACAATGGCCATGAAAACATGAGTTACGACTGTTACAACATCATGATTTGACTTTTGATTTAACTATGAATACTTTTAATGTATACTAATCACATTGTTGTACTGTTGGAATACCAAAGTGCACTGCTGTTGTTTAGTCCACAAGTTGGCACTGAAATGTTCAGACAGGAACACTGCTATAATGTAATTAAACAGAGAAAGTTTATTTTCGAGGCATAATTTGCAGTCAAAAGTAATAAATAATACTGTAACACAATATGCCATATTAAAGTATGCCAAAGTTAGCATATCACAAATATTTAAAAATCACGATTTGTGTTGTGGATCAAGCAGATTGATCTCGCATTCTGGCTCAAGTACTGTGATCATATCGTATCGTGGGGCGTCTAGTGATTCCCACCCCTACTCAATTTGTCACTGAATCTTGTGCTTGTTTGAGGGACTTTTTAGGAATTACTTAAAGTAGTTTAATTTGAAAAAGCCCATCTTCCCCAGTACACAACCTGGAAAAAGAGCCATGATTTAGGTTTTCATACCATGTACCAACATGAGGAGACCTCAAAATCTCTTTTTTCAACCTTATGGTGAGTTCTAAAACATCTTGATAGAGCTGTTGATGGAGGAGTGGAGATTTCCAGTTCATGACTGTGGAGGTCACAGCTCCCTTATGTTTCTATGGTCATGATTTTAAGTTAAAAGTGGACAAATTAAAGCCCCAAAACCATTGAAAACTGCATTTTCCTCACATTTATTTTTGAATAGAAGAGTTTAATGTAATATGGAAATTTTGTTAAGGCCCTAAAATGTACAAATGTTCAATCCCCCATCCATACAGTCCACATATGGAAACTAAACTGCAAATACAGCCTGATTTGTATTCATTTATGTTTTTATTATGTCATGAAAAACAATCATTTACCTATTCAACTTACGGCAGTTTAGTCTCCGGCCATTCACAGTGAAGTTATAAGGACTGTATCAGCCTGGACTGCTTTTTTAAATAAAGCACAATAGAGGGCTGCCAATCTAAGCCGAGCTCATTTGCATACATCTTTCTTAAAGGTAAAGTAACAAGCCTATTTATTTGTAAGGGATAAAGAGATGTTGGAAAATGTTTATGTAAAATTGATTATGACTGTTTTTGGTGCATATATTCAAACAAATGTCATAAGAAAAATGAGGAATATAGGCACTTTAAATCCAGCCAAGCACAAGATATCAAGCAGAGACTCTTTTAGATGTTCCAGAGGCCTAGTACAGATAGCGTAGAAGCAAGCGTTTTACCCCTATTATTGGCGCTGGTGTGTGCAGAGTGAGCTGACTCGTCTTCCTCAGAGAGAGTGAGAAGGAGTGTGTGGGAAAGAGGGGGATGAGATGAGTGGAACATATGGACTGCTCGAGTTTCACAGGAGAATGGAGGCGTAAACAGGAAACGCATTCCTTCTTCAGCCTGTAAACACAATGCTTCATTTGAACAGCCTCTTTGAGGAAAGAAAAGACTGATGAAATGCTCATTTTATAGTCAGCCAAAGTTTTATTGTCCTACCGCTATAGCTGAACTATGAGCATTTTTCATTTTTCAGCCTGTTTTCATTTTACTGGTGACGATACACACATTTCAGTAAGATATGAATTGTGGCGCTTGTACCACAATTCATTTATAATACAGAACTTAAAAATAAATTCCAGCATTTATTTTGCTCATTTTTTTGGTCAAAAATCATTTTCTAAGACAAATCGGAACGGTTTCAGGTGCAGATTCCAATTTTTGTTGTGTCTGACATCAGAAATATGTTTATAGCATGAAATTTAATGGTTTTCAATTCACAGCATCTTACAACCCCCATATAAAGAAAGAATAATATTAAAGGGGTATTAAAATGTCTGCAGAACTCCATTATTAACGTGTAAAGTAATTCAGCGTGATTTGATGTGAAATGCTCTATTCTGGGAAACTTAGCAAGTCAAAATTGTTCAAAGTAGTGGTGAAAGGAACCAGAGGTGTGAATAGTTTAATGCCTCCAAAAGCTCCCTCACAGAAAGCTATCACATGCAGTGGTGACAGATAAGCTATCTGATGTCTGAGACATTTAGTTGTTGTTGTTTTTTTTTACAAAGGTTTTGGCCTAAAACATGGAACAGATGTACATGTCGGCTGTTATAAGGCCAAATATTCCACAAAAAAACTTTTTTTTACCACCATTTTACCATCATCAACATTGCATATAAAAAGAAGACATGTAGGTTCTCTGGTCGTTTTTATATAGTCAATATAATGGCTATATTTGTGATGTAGTTATCACAACCCCCGGTTCCTATCACCACCACTGTAAGGGGGGGTAAGTTTCTCTAGAACAGAGCACTTCACAACAAACCACTCTGAATGACTTCTGTATACGTCTTAATGGAATTCCCCTTGTAATATGCACATTGTAACACCCCTACATCCCCAAGTTTGACATACTGCAAAATATCAAGGCAAGGAGAGAGAAAGAGAGAGGTTCAAGCGTGCATTTAATGCCCAACTAATTGAAACTGTTATATATAACAAAACCACTATGCACTTTCAGCTGTAGCCTCTGAGAATTGACATATATTAAATCTATGCAATTTAAGTTACATCCTTAAATTTAAAACTTAAATTAAAAAAAAAACAGAAAACAAGCAAAACATTCAGATCAATGAAAAATATGCTCAACTTCAGACAATCATGGTCCAAAACGTCTACAACATTCTGGGTGAATGAGCAGCCCCAAGCAAAAAGGACCAGGAAATCATTACTATAATCCAATAAGGCTATTTTATATAATTTAGAGAGCGTCCAGCTCCTCCAAAATCACATAAAAACATTAACAGTAATGATACATATATAGCCACATGTTTTCATCCTACAGAAGACACAGTTGAGCTTCCATTCTGGGCCAAGTTACCCCCAAAAAACATCATTCCACAACACAAACGTCCCAAAAGTAGTGTAGCAACTGACCGTTATGCTAAAACATGACCATCATGACTAAGGCCATTGCGCTACCGTCAGAGCTTTTACAGAAACTGGGTCCAGAATGTGGTAGAAGAATTTCAACACTGCAGAGCCATCTAGTGGACAAAATGGACCGATACCTACAGTCCAAAGAAAACGAGTCCCCTTCTTACATTCATGTTAGGACAAAAACAAAATACAGAAGACAGTCAGAAACACACAGCACATCTATGTTTAAAATACATACCAGTCAGGGACATAATACCACATACAAAATTGACACTTGACAAGACAAAGCATGTCAACAGTAGGAACAGACTTTATAAACGTGCCTAACATGGTTAGAGCTTTTAATAATTAATAAACGTATCAATACTGAGTGCAGATGGGGGGGTCCCGGGTGGGACGTCAGTGGCAATGCTGTCAATAAAGCAGAGCTACTTATGTGCTGCAAAGTCCAGAGGGAATGCTATCTACAGCATTCACAAAGGGCTGGAACTGGATGCAAAGGGTCACTTCCATTCATATGTAACTATAGGTAACTTTTATTTTTTAAAAGAGAAAATCTCTTTTTCATTTGGCCAGCATCACGTTCTTCCTTTCATTTATCTTCATGGTTAATATCCCTAACACTGCAGGTATCTCTGTGTTTTTCTTTTAGAACTTTCTTTTCATTAAAAAGGAACAAAACATTTCTCAGATGTATATTCGGTTGAATGCATTCACATTTTCTCATTTTCTCATTTTCTCATAACCATTTATTCTCTCTCTTTGCTCTTCATTCCATTTACTTTTATGGTGAAGATTAAAATAAAATTACCATTAGATATGTATGTGTTCTAGTAAAATCATGTACTTATATACATATAAAAAAAACAAGTATCTCCAAAATAGTAACTTTACAGGAGAAGGCTATAACATTCTTAACTTTAAAGGTAAGTTAATGCAAAGAGATTACATTCAAAGTGATTTTGGAGCATTTCTATTGGTCCATTACATTTTCAAATAATATAAACGACAGCTGTGTTCACACAATATAAACGACAGCTGTGTTCACACAATATAAAGTACAGCTGTGAACACAGCACTACTGTATTTAAATATAGAAATGTAAAAATCTAAAAAGATGGAAATACATGTTTTTCTTTGGACAGCGACATAATAGTGAATAAATCTCTTAGACTGCATTAATATGTGGTCTTTGTGGGAAAGTTTTGGTAAACCAATTTTTCTTTTCTTTGGCTACCATAATGCTTTTCATTTAATTTCCCTTTGGTGAACATTAAAATACAATTACACATAGAATAAATAATAATATCGTAATATTATCATTATGCATTTATGAGCTTTTCTTGTACATATGCAAAAGTATGAACACCCGCGGTCAAATGACATGTTTGGTTGCTTTTCTAATTAAAAAAATATGTTAACACTGAAATATGGCATTTTTTCATATTCGGAAAAAAAAAAAAAAACATATAGTATAAAATGTGCCATAACTTTTGTGCAGCCCACATTTTATGTTTTCCTTTTTTCCAATATGTTAAATTCAGCAACTAAAATGTGCAGAATGGTGCTCTTTGTAGAGGATGTGTTAACTTTATTTTTACTTAGAAAATCATCAAAACATGTCATTTGCCATGTCATTTGCCCAAACTTTTGTATATGACTGTAACTGTTTTTTTTTCCTTCAGCTAACATAATGCTCTTCACACGCTGTGCCTTCATGGGGCGAAACTGAAATGCAACTACATAAGGTACTTATACACTCTTACAGAACTGATTTTTTCAAAAAACAGAAAAGAAAGAACACAGCATCCCCACAAAGTATTCTGACCCTTTAACTATTGTTCTTCCTAAAATGTTAAACAAAATGATATTTGTTTCAAAGAAAAACACCTTTAGTCTAACATTAAAGTGATGCGAAACTCTGCATGTAGAAAGCCTGGATGAAACTCCCCAAACCATGACTTGAAACTCACCAGCCGCCTTTTTAAGGAATACTTTGCCAAAAAGAAAATTACAGTCTTGGAACGGTCAGTTTAAAATAAGTGCCACTTGGTTTGACATTTTCCTAACACAATGAACTTAATACATTTTCACATATGGCACAATTGTCCAAATACTTTCTGGGGCCACTGTATTTCTCTTGTGTATCATTGTATTGTACTGTATTGTACTGTACTGAGAGTGACACACAACATACCCTGCCAATGTCCAGTATAGTCATACTCTTGTAGGAATAATATGGGATATCAATAGATAGTGTAAACTAAATGTGAGTAATTAGTGTAAAACAGCAAAAACATGTAGAAATGGTAGAGAGAGTCCACATGCATCCTCCTCTACTAAAAATAACTTTTAAAAACAATAATTTGCACTGTAAACATCTGGAAACTTGTAACCAAAAGCATTCTACACTTCTTCACAAAGTAAAAGCTTATATGCATGTGTGATTAAATAACGTAATGATTTATGGCACGACCAGTCACAAATGAAAATGGAGCTAAAGGCATTAAAATGGAAGCTTGATAAAGTGCCCATAAACAAGAATAATCAGCGAATCATTCCTGTAAAAGTACATGATTCTTATCTGGCAAGCCCTCCTCACCCATTTCACTGATGGTCTTCATGTTAACTGTGTAGCTGATATGGTCATTACATGTACACTGATGGAAATGAATAAAGAAATATACATTAGGTCTGCCCTTGATGCAGAGCTTTTGGTGATAGCCCTCAAAATAAGAAAACTCTAAAACAATCACCTCAAATAAGTATATTTACTATAGTGAGCAAACCTGCTGGAGCCTCGAACCTTTCAAAACTCAGCCTTGCCTTGTCCTACAGCTCAACAGCAGGTCTACGTTATAAACCCTGTGAATGAAGTCAGCGTATGACCGAAAGTTATGGACGCCTTTCGCACCGGAGACTTTTTGTGCTCCTTTGTTTACGTTTGCAACTCCAAGAAAACGTTTTTATTCTTCAAACGTTCCTTCTCCTCCACTGCTGCATGGGCGTCATGCAGGTCCTGGAGAATCGTGAAGAGTCTTGTTACCCCATCCACCTTCTTATGATCTGGAAGCATAGGAAAGAAACAAATCAGGAGCTGTGCTCAGATGCAATAGTGATGCAGGTACTGTCATATGCAAAAGTTTGGAACACACCTGGTCAGTTCACACAACCTCTACAGAGAACAAACTTTATTCTACACATTTTAGTGCACAATTTCAATTCAACTCATTTGCTAGGTTTAGCAAAAAACAAACATGAAAACAAACATAAAAAATAAAATGTCTTATAGCTTTAGTACATAATATTTAATTATAGTTTTATATTTATTCCTAAAATGTTAAATACAGTAAACAGTAATTGTGCATTAAATTGTGCATAACTGTTACCTTTAGAGAATACTACTTATTGCTTATACTACCTATCTGTAGAGCATAGTGCTTATTTTCTCAAACTCAAACTCAAACCTTTGCATAAGACTGTATGCATGTCAGTTCAATATTACTGTTTATTCCTATTTTAATTGTAAACTTAAAAATGGAAAAGTTTTCACATTACCTTTGTCTGAGTCTGCTTCATCGGCATGTTCTTGCTTAATCAGTTCATAATATTTATCCCTGCAAGTCATCAGAAAGCACAGTCTGTTAACCTGCCAAAATTAAGCTTGTTGCTAACATAAATGAGGATCCTGGAGAACACATAGTTGTACTTTAGCTTCAGCTTGTACAGAACATACTGCATTCCTTAACTCCTTGAACTCTATGCTTTTATTATTCATTTATTAATTTTCAGACATATTACTCAGTAACCCAGCGACCCAGCGACCCAGAAGGATAAGCGGTTTAGATGATGGATGGATGGATGGATTACTCAGTAACTACTATAAAACTGATCAAACTATGAAACTGAAACTTGTAAGCTATGTAGAGAGAGTAAGAAGTTGAATGGAGGAAGCACATTCAGTCCCTTAGGGTTTAATGGGTTTATGTGCAGCAGTATATTACTCATTCGATACATCTGCTGCTGACTGCAGTATGCAGTGTTCTCTACGAATTTTTTTACAAATGAACCATGAAATTAAAGCAACGCCAGACAGTGTCTAGAACAGCCACTACCTCATGGCGTGCTGGACGCTGCTGAGGTGTCGATAAATAAGTTGAGCTTCCAGGTCTGGATCCAGCGGGTCATACCATTCTTGCAGGGTGACACCATGTCTGGTCTTATCACAGCCTGGATCTGCATAGGAAGAACATATCATAAATAATCTTTTCCCAGTGCGCAATAATGTAGAGCAAAGGAACAAACAGCAATATTTGAATTTTAATAATCATAAATATGGTCACTTGACTAAGACCACAAGTTCTCAAAGAGATTGTGCTACAGCTACTAAAGCTAAAACAGTACAGCTGAATAAACTGTGTCCTGTATTCATCACCTTTCACTAGCTCCCTTTCAGCTGTACCAAGATCAAGTTACCAAAATATTATAAAAAAAAACTACTGTCAATCTTATAGAACAAAACAAGACTGAACTCTCAGCTGTCATCAAGTTTTATGGTCATGTACAGACAAACTCACAGTGGGCAACAGTGGACTGTGTGAAACTCTTAAAAAGATGACCACCTCTAGATCATCCAATAAGGTCTATAATTTGTAGATTCTGCATTTAAAAGGCTTATAAATGAAAGGGGCTTAAATCTCAGTTTGACACACTGGGAAATGGAGGCCAGAATCACAGACTGGCATGCTTTGACATTGCCGCAGTACCTGTTTTCTCCTTTTGGTGGCAGCAGCTCCATCTGTCAGCTTTGTAAATGCCCTGGGTGATAGCTGCTCATTGTGTTGGTGTTGTGACTGCACGCTTTCCGTAAAGCCGACAGCCACTGATTCAGTTCGTTTACACTCTAAAGCAAAAGAAACAGTGAAGAAAAGAGAAAAAGATAAATATTTGACCCTAAACTGTTTAATAACCTTTGCTGTTCCCCTTAAAAAAGAAAAATACATATGTCAATGCCTGCAAATCTCGTAACATGTACAGTAAATACACATCATAGCACAGCCCTCTATACTGTTTACCATGATCTATGCCCATCTAACCTAATCCAGTCATCAAGTCATCAAGACCTTTTTGACCTTATTGATCTATCAGGTCAGGAACCAATATAGATTGAACACAAGATGTCGTTTGGGAGCATGGAACGAAAATATGGCCTGGCTGAGTATCTTGTTCTCTGTACCGTTCAGCATGTACCTTGCAGTCCAGGTAGAGAGTCTCCTGCTGGCCAGAATCCTCACTCGAGATGATCTGCATGACATTGGCGCTTCCAAAACACTTCTCTTCCACTTTCTCTACTGCCCGGATCTTTGGCAGGGAGATGAACGAGGTCTTCTGTATTACACAAACCCATCATGGACACCATTAGAGAAGACACATTCATCTGTCATTATTACAGGGCTCTAAGAAGATGGATGAAAGTTTATCATTAGAAGGACTGATAAAGGGTAGAGGGTGGTAGCACTCACCTTAGAATGCTGCGTTCGTGAATAAGACAGAGTGTCTTTGCTTAGAGTTACATAGTACTTCTTAAAGGGGGAGGTCATGGGTATGCACTTGTCTTTGGTCTTATGGAGGAAGAGGAAGCCTTCTTTCTCCATGGTGCCACACTGGAGACTCATACGAGTTTGAAGACAAAGATCTAGAGGAAAAATATGAATATACTATCACATATATTGACTATTTAGAGTATACTGTATTTAGTATTGTGCACAGTGTATAATACAGTGTATGCTGTCTGTCCTGGCTGATTGAATCATTAAACTTGCATTGGTTTATAGAAATACACTTTAAAACTGTGAAAAGAATATATGAGCCAACACAAGAAAGCGGTGGTATAGTGCACTATGGTTGAGAGGTGACACATCTGCAGCTTGATCAAATGTGACATGTTGGAATGAGCTTCCAGCACCCCAGTGAGTCCGATTCAATTTTTTCTGTGTAATTACTCATTTAATACAGCTCACCTTCCGAGTCATGGCAGCTGACCAGCCGAGTGATGAAGTCTTTGAGCTGGGAGATGCCTTGTTGGATGGCGGGCTGCAGAGGTACCATCCATGGCTCCTTAGAGCAACAGACCAGAGTGTCCAGATTGCCAATGGTCTGCACAGCCTGGGAACAAACATAGTGAAAGACCTTTAAAGACGCAGCAAATGCACTGGGCTCTTATGAGGATTTTAGATGCTTGCAGGCATGATCTGTGTAGTGTGACTAATACAGGTCATTTTATAGTATAATGGAGGTCTCATCCACCATTAACCTCAGGGATTAGTATTAATCTGTACTGGATGTTGATGCTAATGCTGAATGTGTGGATCAAATGTAACATGTTTTGTGCATAATGAAGTCTAGAGGAACTGTATGGTGTGTGCTGTATCAGACAGTAGTCCCAGGCCAGCTAATCTCATCATCATTCTGAGAAGGTACACCAGGGTATTGGATCCACTTTTCCATTTGGTAAAAAGGAATCCAGTCTATTTACAGTAGCCCTCATAGTAGAGCATATTACAGCATAGTGGAATGTAGTGTGGCATGGAGCATACCTTAGCCAGCAGCAGCAGAGTGCGACTGGTCCGGGCGTCTGCATGTTTCTCCCGCAGGTGGAAGAGCTTGGGAGACATGATGGCAGGAGAGATAAAGCGGAGACACAGGAAGCTGGTAACAGCAATGAACTTCACTTTCTGTAAGGGAGCAAGACAAAAGAAAGAGCTGTGACTATCTAAAAGAGCCAGGAATGTCATTAGTGGTTCAAGCCAACAAAAATCTAAAATACCTAACAAAAGACGATCAGAAATGGCCTAAATCCTATGCTATTTTTTCTCTTAAATTATCTATGAAATGTTATGGTCCAGTTCCACTTAATATTACAATAGCATAGGCAAATTGTTACAGTCCTAATAAATACAGATATTAAGTAGTAGTAATCATTAGGTTCCCGAATGTTACGTACCCTGTACTCTGGGTCTGGGAAGCGTGCTTGCACTCGATGGTAGAGCTGCTGGAAGGCCTGACAAAGCAGCAGGGGGCAGTAGGAGGCTGACTGCAGGATAGCAGCCAAGAGCTCAGAGAGGTATGACTGGAGCAAGCTGGAGCTCTGCTGAATCACGTCGGCTTCTGTGTGCTGACGATGCAGCCCCGTGCACCTAAAGCCACAAATATCTTTAATGAAGCTACAGGTAGGAATTTCACATTTTTTTGTAAAAAAAAATGCGGTTTTGTTAATATGTAACAATTAAAATTCCTCATAATTCAGTTTCAAAATATTACAAAGATTTAATGATCAACATGTCACCATTTGTTATCAAGCTGTTTCTAAATTGTAATTGCTGACAGATTCACCGACCTCTCATACCAAAAAGCCATGCATATTGACTTAATCAAGCACAGAGCCCATACGTAGCTCCACTAAATCTGAAGTGAGCCCAGGAGTAGCTCTTCACAGAGCATTAGTTCTTGGGCTATTGAAGGGGCCCTCCAGACACAATGAAGAAGGCTGAGAGGGAAGAGGCAAATTTGTTTGCTTTGCTGGAGTTTTTCCTGGTGAGGTCTATCTTCGCCTATTCATGCCATTACTCATCCTGGTTTACTTGTGAATTAAGTTTTTGAGTTTATGAAGACTTTTGTATTACTATACTCCTGTAGACAAAAATGATAAGTTTAGGTGGGAACATAGACCTATTAGGGGGGAACATTCTGAGTGTGAAAGGTCTGAACCAATCCAATGCCTCATCAAGGTGGAGTTTAAAGTAGGGGTCGATGGTGTTCTTGTCAACATTGTCTGACAGACAAAAGGCTTGTCATTAGCCCATGAATGAAACATAAAGTACGGCTGAAAAATCCCCCCGAAACCTCCAAACAAGCATGTAGATGTGTGTTGCATGTGCAGAGAACACATTACATGCAGTAAAATTAAATATTTACTTTATATTCCATTACATAACATTTCCAATACGTAACAGTCGTGTTTTGCTAGCTAGCTTGTCTTGTTTGTATTCTGTATGAGATTCCGTCTGGTCCCACATGAATATCTGTGACTAGGCCTTCCACTTGCAGCCTTATCTTCCCTCTTTCTATCCTGATTCTATCCTGTTTACTCAAGAGGAAGAAGGAGGGTCAAAATAAAAATACACCAAAATAACAACGAGAAGAAAAACTGGCCAGACTGAAGGAGTCTTTCCAACGGATAGAGAGCACAGGGTTAGAAGATTCACTGAATTTATTTAACTCCAATATGTACATAATTTCTGCAAGAATAAAATATGTCAACACAACTACTGCCATATATAAACTGACTGATAAAGTTGTATTAATGTAATTTATTTTATTCATGTGGAAATGATGTACATATTTACATCAAGAAAACTTAATGCATCACTTTTTTCCCCGGGTGAAAAGGGAATGTTTGGCAGATTCTCCAACACAGCCCCATTGATCAATCTTATGTGTAGCTCATTCAATGAGTTCCTTAATGTTCCATTATTTTTCTTACCCTGCATCTTTCAGCTCCACCTTATTGGGATCCAGTTCCACATACTTCTTCTCCTCAAAAATGCGATTGATGATGGGACCCAGAAGCCTGTGCAAATACTGCATTCCGGCCACCTACCGGCACAGAAGAACGTTTTAGCTAATTTGGAAAGAACTTCACCAGTTACAAGCTTCATTTGATCACAAATAATGAATGAACTTGGATCGTGTCAAAATACTTAAGAGCCATTGTATTATTTTGCAACACTTGGAACCATCTGTAGTGCAGAGTTACCTTTAGAAATGACTCCATAGATTTGGAAGCTAAAGAGTTGCTCCTAAATAAAGTGTTGGGTTCGGCTGAGGAACAAACAAAAACAAACAGGAGATGACTAATCGGCCCAGTGCAAGTAAATCAGTAAATCTAGTTTTTAGGAAGCTGCATGTTGTTAAACAAAGCTTCTTTGTGTGCTTACTTGTTTTCTCCAGTTCCAATTTGAACAGCACATCCAGGAACTCCTTAATTAGCCCTTGTCCCAGAAAGAGCTTCACCAGGTTATTGGCTACTTCCTGTCTGTTTTCAGAGGTCGTCGTCTCATCGATTAGCATGATCAGATCAGGCCAGTTGCCCTATGATGCACACAGCTGTCATATGTGAATGTTCACCAGGAAACGTTCCATGAGAAATACCAGACTGTCTGACAAGCTTTTTCTTAAAAAGAAAACCCATGTATGAAAAATGAATGAAGCTGAACTGTTTTTAAACCTAAAACTAGACAACTTGATTTAGCTCAAAACAATATTTATTGAAAATTTATCCAGGAGAATAAATACTGTGCCTGAAGTCTTCAGGTCGTTTTGTTCATACCACAATAATGATCATTACATTATGATATGTACCAAATAAAATACCAACCAATACCAAGACAAGCTCTGACCTAAAAATAGGCAGTTTTACTGTTTTCTATTAAAAAGAAATCAGCTATGACATCATACCAACGTGACTGGGGAAATTAAAAAACATTATGTCTAAAATTAGAATTAGAACACATTTAAAATTAGAATTAGGCTTATTGTGTATTTTCTTGTAAGAGGTGGAATATGTTAGTGACTCAGACTCACATTAAGGTGAGTCCCAACAGACTGGCTCAGTAACTCAGTCAGTGGCTGGTAATGGCTGGACGGCAGGACCGTCTCGTCACGGAGCCGCAGCTGCAGCCTCAAGGAGCCCAGAGTGCCTCTTAAAGAGAGAGAGGGAGAGAGAGAGAGACACCAGGTTGAGTGACGCCAGTGTAATCATCACATAGCCTAGAGGTACTCAACCCTACACCCTGACAACATAAAGAAAACAAGTCATGAGTTTTGTTACATCAGTCAAAAAATCACCTCCTGTGTAATATCAACATTTTTAAACTGTTTTAAGCCTAGAGAGAAGGCAACACAAAGAGATTATCCAAAAAAGCAAGCCCTGACTCACTCCACTTAAAGCATTCCAGGAAATATGGCCAGCAGGACAGACAAACAATAATAAAGAAAATGACTCCATTATAGGAACCATCCCGAGCAAAACGTTCCATAAAAGAAAGGGAATAGGAGACTTTATAGCTGCGTGGGTAGATGTGTTTTATAGCGTTGGCACAAAGAAACAAACTAAAAATGGGGCATTAAAGGCAGACAGTCAAGGGGGGGAAACAATATCACGGTCTGCGGTCGGCAGCTGCTGAAGGTCAGAAGAGCATCCCACCCGCTGGAGCTCGAAATGACTCGTAATACAGGCTGCCTGCAGTCCTGTGGCCAATGGGTGTGCACCAATTTTTAATATGGGACACTGTGTGTTAGCCTTGTTTCAGCATGCGTCCTTCACAATACACGCTTGCGCTCTGTCTGACCCACCGCCTACATCTCACACTCCTTTGATTACTGTAATAAGGCGTCAGCGATTTGGATGGAGTTGGTCATTTATTTCTTTCAGGTGTAGGCAGACGTGTGAAACTTGCACTGACCACTCAGGCCACCAAGCCAATGAAATGACATGAACAATGAACAATTTGTGGCCAGAATAGTAGAAACATGTTTACACTGTGTTTAAAATTAACAAGCATGCTTCAGTATAAAAAAAGTCAGAGGTTTCTTTAAAAAAATGCATCAGGCAGTGCATTGATAACCATTCCATGCCATAACTTTCTGCAAGGGAGCTTTAAAGGCATTAAACTTTTCAGATGTGAAATTTAGAAATGGAATCAATGGAATTCCCCTTTAAAAGGGAAAAAGAATGCAAAAAATCTCCAAGACAAGTGGCCACTCTGTGACAGGCTCTGTAAATGTGAAATAGAGTAACTAGTGACACTAAGCAATACTCAATGTCAACCCCTGTATTTATTTTTGTCACATTATCTTTCTTTTATGTTACTGGTCATTCTATGTGTGGATTATCTAGAAATATGAAACAGATCATCCATAGGAAAATCTTCAAATTTAAAATGCTTGTAGCCTTTATTTTGCCCTAATCAATCAGTCGCTGATGGGAGTGCACCTGGAGTGGATGAGGGTGGGCCCAAAGCTTTATTTCACACTTCTATAACCTAGAAATAGCTCAGCCGGTTTGCATTGAAGACCCTGTAGTTACTGGATAATAAGCCTTTGTATGTTTTAAGCCTGAGATTTTAAGGAGCTAATAAAGGACACTTTCCATTAGCTCTTTCCATTCTCTCTGAGTGTCACCTCGATTTCAACAAGCGTCCTCCGCAAAACGTGCTTCCCCTCCCTGCGACCCGCCACCCACTTTTATGACAGAACATGCTTAGAAGCTGCTTAAGATAAAAACAACCATTATTTTGCTCTCCTGAAGGGCCTGGTCGCTTCCATTTTTGCTCGAGAGGACCTGACTGTGATATTTTGATTGAGCTACTCATAGCCCACCCACACCCGCTGATCACTCGCACTCCATAATCTCAATGCCAAAGAGGGGTAACACTTAAGGGAAAGTGGGAGGCTGAAGCGTGCTTATGTGTGTGTGTGTATGTGTGAGCGTGTGTGCCAAGCGCCACCATCAGCAGCCAGTCACCAAACAGCAGGCAACAGATGGTGGGCCGTCAAAAATCCAATCAGGAAGAAGACGGTGTGGAAGGCAAAAAAAAAAGGAGGCAAAATAAATAACAACAACACCGGCTTGACTGGTTCACTGAGAAGAGTGCAGATCAAGAGTGGGGGAGGGGCAGATTATGGGCGCTTAATGGGCAACTCTTTTTTATTAGAATGACATCACTGCAGGGAGAGGGTATAGCAGGCGAAACTCATCTTCATGCTTTACCGTATGTCAAGGCAAGGAAAGAGGTTTAAATATCATTCAAATGGGGGTGCTAGAAGGTGTTGTTTTGAAAGTGCATGCAATGAAACTGATTGTGAACAACTGGCTCAGACTAAATGATTATGTTTTTACTATGTATTATATACTTCGGCAGAACTGAATGAAAGCAGTTGTTTTAATTTCATTAATCAGGTTCGTTTAAAGCATTCGCCTGCGTTTGCTTGTGGTGTGTTGTACTGTTCTTTGTTACCTTCCTATCTACATGTTTTATAAAATAAGTATTAGTCACAAACATGCTACCAAACAAATGGCACTGACTGAATTGAAGAAAAAAACTGTAAATATCACAATAATGTACTACTGTTGCAACAGAACCTGGAGGAAAATAATCCTTTGTTTGGGATCAGCAGTGACATTTTAATTCCCCCTTTTCATCTTTTCAAAGCAGGAACAGATGGACAAACATTAATAAAAAGGATTTTCACTAAATTCAAATTCTGTGCATCTCTGTAAAATGGAGCACTCTGTCGCATTTCCAGATACACACTAACAGCTGAATATATAACAAACAAGGGATATTTTATAACACTGATGTTTGCCTTTTTAAAAAGTCGCTCTGCCACTTCAGGAATCAGGAATATTAAAGAATCTAGAATGTACTGAGCTGTGTAAAAGTCAGAGACCACCTTTCATTTATTCAATTGCTATTAATGGCTATTATTTATTTTTCAGTATCAGACACAAGGCAGGAGCAGGAGCCGTCACTAAGAAAAGAAAATAGACCAAAAAAAAGAATATTTGCACTTAAACACTGAACTGGACATCTAAAATGTGGAGTAAGGTTTTGTTGTCAATGTGAAGTAAGCTTTTGTTGTTATTGTTTTGATAAAATAGTACCAAACAGAAATAAATCTTTTCAGAATTAATGGCGTTCCTACCACTTCAGCCATTCTTTAGTTCAGTCCTCTAAAATGCCTAATTCTTCAATCCACTCCTCCATTCAAAAGCTGGATTATTACTATATGTTTCGACTAAATGCTCACTTCTAACCTCTTCCCACCTTTTCTTAAGTCTCAGTAGCTCAGTGTATTGGGGAACTGAGCACACCGAACCCTGTGGGACCTGCAGGTGGTCCGACAGCAGTTTGTATTGTGATAGCTGAGGTAAAGCTATGTTGAACTAAAGCTGTTTTACAGTATAAATAAAAGAATAAATGAATGAACAAACAAAACAAAAAAAAGGAACTGATGAATGAATGCTGTAGGCTATAATCTCTGTCACACTAACACAACGTGTCCCCACATTACTCCCTCTTCTAATCTCCCCCACATACACACACACTGACATATTGCGTTTGTCATCACCGCTGGCCAATCCCGATATTCCGGTTCTGGTCAAAACCTTGAAGTTTTTACATAAGCACTGCCATCCCACTCCTCCTCTGCATGCCTGCTTTATAATCCTCCCTGTGTATCCACATGACGGGAGAGAGAGAGAGAGAGAGAAAACGAGAGTGAGAGAGAGACAGAATGAAAAAAAAAATCCCAGGATTTAGCCACGGAAAGGATTAGTACTTCCTGTCAGCACATGGACGGGAACAGACGCGCACAAGTTTGCAAAAGCCTTGTGCATGGCCAACAAACGCAGAGGAACAGCCGTCTATGCCAAACCATGACGACATAGCCATCGGGTAACACACATTCAGTCATGAACATTTATCCAGAGCTGATAAACAAAGAGGTTCAACAAAACAATTGGAAATGGGCTTAAATGCCTTCACTGGTGCCACACATTTCATCCGTGCTACTATTCAAGTTGACAGGATTTCAAATCTCACTTCACCTCTATTAGATGAGTAATGATGAGGGACACGCATTCTAACTAATTCTGATATTTAAGTATTTGTAAGAATGAATTATCAGATATTTGGTTGGCCGTGGTGGAAGAAACTTTGGACAGTATTAACATTAGGCTGTGGGCCAACTTTGTAGGTGAAAGCACTGGCTCAACAAACAGCAGTGCGCATATTTAGCAGCATGCAGAGGAATACATTTGAATACAAGCACAATGGGAGGGGTTTTACAGTTCTAAAACTTGACTGCCTGAGCTATATTCAAAGCTATATAATATGTTCATTATAATATACTGAAAAGTTGACAAAATGACTGGAACATATAATGATACATATATACAAAACATTCTATATTCTAAAGATCCCAAGTTATATTTACCACTCATTACTAGCCCCAGTTCAAACAAACATGAGTTCATAAATATCATCACCAAGGCAGCTGACTCAGTGCACATCAGCAGGTCTCGAACGCCATCGCCATCCACCACATCCTTCTCTATAATTTTGCTCAGTCATGTGTGATGCACACCGCAATGCATCACACTACCAACAAACACCATTATATTTAGAAGCACACTTCATCAAGAGGAACCAGATCACTGTGCTCTTATGCGTATAATTCAAAAACATATTTCAAACTGAATGACAAACCTGTGCACTCAATTGGAAACTTGTGTTTATTGGAATTTAAGAGTTTTTAACCAAAAGCACCGGTGGAACAATATTTGTCGGTCAATAGTTAATTGTTTAATCAATTTTATATCCCTGTCTTCTACCTGTCAACATCTTAGTTTGACAACAAAACATCTTTTTATTGTTCGTGTTAATGTAACATCAGCTACATTAGTTAGCCTAGACAACAACACATTCATGTTAAGGCACTTGAGTTTCAGGTGGTAAAGAGTAATATAATAAACATACTCACAAACACGACCAAAATGTCTCATTCTACAATTCTGCTAAACATACAATATGTATGATACATTTGTGATACAGAAAAAAAAGCTATTTCCATTTTTATTCTGCTTTTATTTTTTTATTATAGATCAACTGACAAAACACTGCAGTGTCTTGTGACAGCATAATTAGTAGAAATAAGTAATTGTCTTAGAAAAAATATTTTCAACACACAAACCGTAAATAGTATCAGGAGGAGCAGCAGTTTTTTTCTTACTTTTGTGATATCTTTTAGAAATGCTTTTATTTTTTCAATGGAACCGTGTAATTCATTCCAATGTCAGTATGTGAAAGTCTAACTATATACGGTCACAGAATATCCTTGAGCGTCTCGCCACTCCTGTATCAAAAAAGCTGAACATCCATACTGTAATAACCCTAACCTCTAAACATTCAACGTCTACTACCCTGACCCAAAGCTCAGCCTCAATAGAGGCACCTAAGGTCTCTCCTGAGATACAGTTCTTTGTTGGTGCTGGCTGTGTAAGAAAATGGAATGAAATCAAAGGCACTCACTCATACTGGCTGTGTTTGGGTTTGTCAGGCCCCAGGCGAAACCAGCCCTCCTCTTGCTGCGCCGACTGAAGCCTGTTGATGTTGAACAGGACCTGAGGGATAACAGGAGACAAACGCGTCAGCCAACTTGACAATTAAATGTCAAAGCAACTCGAGCCGGAAATGATGATCAAGACATTTATTTGCGGGTGAGAAATCCAATGTGACTGACTGTTTACCAGAACAAAATAAAATGAAAATAAAAATGAAACAACAAACAATTTAAATGCAGTTTAAAAAATCTGTCTGTTTTATATTCAAACATGATACACACTGAATGGTCAAAAACATATTAATACACACCACCACCCAAATTACTGACACCTTATCACATTAATCAAATGGGTAGGTGGATCGGCATAAATCAGTGTACTTCTAAAGCTGTCATTCAGACAGACTCTGGCAGAAACCTTACTGAATCTTCACCCTTTTTCTGTTAACTTCTCAGATTCAGGGTGGCAAGACCAATTTCTTTGGTTTCTGTGCCCTGCTAAATTAGCTGTCGTCATCAACTGAACTGCGTCTATTGCTCATCAGATCACACTGATTGCTCTGAAACGGCTCCCAATTAAAGTAATACCAGGCGGAATCTCTGGAGCAGAACAGAGCGAAAAGCTCAGGAGATTTCAAATGCTTTTTACTAGAATCTTTCTGATTATCCATTCTAATGTATCCTTATGCTATCAGAAGTGATGAGTACACTATTAATATTCTGTATGTGTCCACATAATTTGAATAATGTGAAGGTAAGCGCTTCTGCATGAATCAGACTATTAAGGTAGGCACAGAAACCACATCCATGAAAAATGTTACCTTGCCGAGGAAGTCGTTCCTGCTGACCAGGTCCCAGTCCCATACCTCCACACAGAGAAGGCTATCAGCCAGAGTGTCGTCTAGCTCAAATTCAAAACTCTCATTCCAGCGTGGATAGCAGGACTTCTTTACCACCTACAGAAGTGTTTGTTACACCAGAATCAAAGAGATAATTCAACCAAACAATGCTGCAGTAGTTGATTGAATGAATGAAGGGAATTTTTATCCATTGTTAGCCTTGGTTGAACTACCCCTTCAAGAGATTAGCAAAAGTACTGTAGTATTCGAGTCCAGTATCAGTCTCAGTCTCGACATCACTGGGTGTGATGCATTCTGAGATAATTTAATTATTATTAATTTCATTTTTTTTCTATCATTATTAAATATCAACAATAACTACAAACAGAATTATACAGTCCATTTGCTACATTACAATAAAATCTGTTTAATGCAGGTTGAGGCTCTGATTGATCCTTTCCATGATGGCTTAACTGGGTATTATTTGTTTGCTGATGTTTATGGTTGGTTCAGACATCCCCTGAAGGCAAATCGGGATGTTATTACTATATTTTATTTAATAAACGTTGTTTTGTTTATATTTAATTATCTTTAGGTGGTGAGTTTGAATAAGCTGTAGAGAAAAAGGGGCAGAGAATAACCTCACTCTCATGATATGCTTCCAAAAGTTACAATGCAAAGTTGGACTAAGACTACAGTATTATAATAATTAATAATATCTTCAGGCTATATATTACTTGTTATTTTTATCAGTTACTGTCATTTAATGTTATATTTTGCAAAATATATTTTAAAATGTACAGTCCAGGTCTCATCTCGGTATCGCCACTCCTGGTCTCAATCTTGACTCAGAGTCACCTCTAGGGATCTTGATTACAACAGTAGTTAGCAAAGAACATGCTAACTCACAATCCATCACAGTGTGACTCAAAGTCAATTACAGTCAAGCTTGCCAGACAGATTTTAAGCCTAGGCTTTAAGAGGAATCTGCGATGGTGAATCACTGAAGCTAGTTGAGGGAAGCATTATATAAATGAGATCATACTAACTGATCCCGTTTCTGTTTATTCTTTGAGTTATGTTCTTTGGCAGTGTAAATTTAGGTCAAGAATATGATTAATCTGTGTCCTGGGAGGTGAGCACATTACAGTCCAGATTTGCTGATTAATAGAACACATTAACTACCTAGACGTAATAATCTGATTTGAAATATTCCAAGACAGTGGCAGCGAGAAAGTGCTAATCAACGTCAAAATTTAGCTGTGAAAAGAAAGCAAAGGAACAATTTGCTTACTGCGCTCTCATGGCTTTTCCCATTGTATCTGACTCTGACGAATGGATCTGAAGCTCCGTTGCGGTCTTTTTTGGCAAGATCTCTAGAAAGCGAAACCAAAACAGATGAGTAAGACAGTGAACTGATCTAAACATATAAAAAATGTCTCTTAGAGCCAGTGTTATTTTTAGACCAGTGCAGTGTTTTTTTTCTATATCCAACACTCAGGTCAAAACCTCATGCATAAAATAAGATTTGCTGGTTAAGGATACCATATTTGGAGATTAAACCAACATTAGACAGATTCCCATGACTTTGAAAGGTCTCACACAGCATTCCTTAATTTTTCTACATTATAGTAACACTAATAAAAACACTGTCTGTATTCTCTCTCCAGAAGTGTATGTTATTGAAGAAATACACAATTATTAATGATTCTTTTTTTCAACAGTCAACATGGTTTGGTTTGTGCACCAACAGGGTTTTTTTTCTTCAGTTGGAAATTCAGTTCTAATGTGTTTTCTAAGCCTCTCACCTGGCCTCAAGGACTCTGCAGCGCAGTTTGTGTGGAACATCCCCGTCCCCCAGCAGAGATATCTGCAAGTGAATTTCCCCTTGAACCTCCTCGTCTGGATCTATCTCAGTCAGGTTCATCCAGCAATCCAGACCTACACATGGCAAAAAGAAACAGCTATAAATGCTCGTCCTGTGCAGAAATGTGATGAACATACACATACATACAACATACACACATATACAGTTAACAGCCAAAAGTATGTGGACACCAGTGCTAATTATTGAGCTCAGGTGTTTCATTGCTAACAGGTGTATGAATCAAGCACATAGCCATGCAAACTCCATAGACAAACACTGGCAGCAGAATGGGTCATACTCATTGACGTTACGTGCAGCACTGTCATAGGACGACATCTTTGCCACAAGTCAGTTTGTGAGATTTATGCCCTGCTAGGTCTGCCCTGTTCAGCTGTAAGTACTGCTATTGTTAAATAGAAGCGTTTAGGAGCAACAACAGCTCAGTCACGAAGCAGCAGACCACATAAACTAACAGAGCAGGACCACCGAGTGCTGTAGCTCATAAAAAAGGCCTGTTGCATCACAACTGTGCGTTGGCAGCCTCATAAAATGGGTTTCCATGGCCGAGCAGCTGCACACAAGCCAAAGATCACTATGCACAATGCCAAACATCAGCTGAAGTGGTGTAAAGCACACTGGCACACCGACTGCGGAGCAGTGGAAATGTGTTTTCTGGAATGATGATGCATGCGTCACTGTCTAGCAGCCTGAGAGACAAATCTTCCAGACATCATACACACAATTCAAATATAAACATAATACAAACACATACATACAAAATAACAGAAACTCCAGATGAAAAAACATTCATATAAAGTCATTCACATAGAGTTATATTCTGAAATCACAATAAACTGCTACAAAATACATTATGCACACAAAACACATCCATTCTTGAAAGGAGAAATAGTCAAGGGTCCCAATTCACAGAATGTGTACAACTGCTTTCCATGAACTGGATAAACACTTCCCCATGCATTTATATTTATTCACACACTATCAGTCAAAAATTTGAGAACATCAAGTTAAAACCAGGCTTTTTTGAATAATTATCTACGCTTTCAACTGCAGAAATAGTCTACAGGTTCTCCAGAGTTTTTAGCACCGTTAATGACTAAGAAGTCCATGGTGTTCATCCGCTTAAACTTACAGTGAACACAGGAAAGAAACCTAATCTTTCAGTCAAGTCAAAGTTTTCAAAGAATTATTGGCACCCCTGTCTTTAGTACCCCCTGCCCTCCCCCTTTGACAAGATAACAGCACTCTTATAATGTTGGCTGAGATTTAAATGCTTTATTATGCTTTTCTTCAGTCCACAGGTCTTTGACTTTACAGGTTTGCATTAGTGTTGTGGTCAAAACATTGCAATCTTCAAATCTGTGTTCAGTAAACTACTTTTGTGTAGATTTGGAGCTTGCTTTGGATCACTGTCCTGCTGGACGATCCAACCATGACCAAGTGTGAGCCTCCTGGCAGCTGCAGCTGGATTTTGATCTAAAACCACATAGCATTTGATCGTGAGTCCATGATGTCATATATCCTAACAAGATTACCACAGCCCCACAACATTACAGATTCTCCAACCTACTTCACAGCAGGGATCAGATTATGCTCTGCAAGACCTTGACTCTTTTCAGACCCCAGTCATCTCGCGCATCTCCTCTAGAGTTTTAGTAGTGCTCTCAATAAAGTCACACATTGTGCTCAAATCTGCCAAGATAATAAGACCCATGTTTATCTGCAGCTGAACTAAAGACAGGAATTCAATCGTTTGTCATCCAAGATTAAGAGCAAGACCTTGACTCTTTTCACAACAAACACTGGAGCCATTTTTGGTGTTTGTTCCTAAAGAGCTTTGTTTTTGTCTCAGCAGACCTTAGAAGCTGGTTCCAATCAAAGTACCAATTATGTACTTGAGCGTTTTGATAATGGCGGCAGCAGAGGCTCTTTTCTGGCAAGGCTTTCAACTGATTCATTGGCATCGAATGGTTGTGGACTTTGTTTTAAGGATGCAACCAACTGTCAAGTTAAACTAACTCCTGTAGTCGTTGGAGTGAGATCTTTGGAAAAGGTTTTGCCTCATAAACCATCCTTTCGGTTTACGTGCCGGGGCAAAACACGTTTGTTATTTATCCTCTTATAGGCAGGTTCATCAGAGACCCAGTAGTTTGGGACTTCTGAACTGTTACCCTAATAGTGAAGAGAGATCTATGTTTTCCCCATGCTGATGGATGGCTTAGGGTGTTTGACCAATATGTCACCTCGTTTCTATCTTCATGGATGACCACTTTAAGATAGTAAGATAGCACAGTAATTGTGTAAGATAGTAAGTTATTGTGCTTAGTGTTAAACAACTTCTGGAAAGGCTTTAAACTACACATTGGAACAGTGCTCTGGGGATTTGACTGCATTCAGCTTAAAGAGCTTTGGTGAAGTCAGGTACTGATGCTGGATGATCTGGATCTCAAACACCACTGTAAACTCATCCCAAAGGTATCTGAAGGTAATTCTATCACTCCACAGAATGCAGTTCCACTGCTGGGGAGCTTTAAACCCCTCTAGCCCACTTCAGGGCATTTATTGGTAATGCTTTTCTATGGAGATTATACGTGCTGTGTGTGCACAGCTGAACACCTGTGTCAGCAGTAGGTGCACCTTAAATGAGCTGAATTCACCAATTAGTTTGTTTATTAACAAACATTCGAACATATAGCATATGTCAATGTATAAGATATGGATTTTTTTTTTCAAATAATTTAAATTAAATTTTTTCTAATATTTTCCACATAAGTTCAAGGTGGTAATCGACAGATAAATGACAATGTTTTTTCATAGCTTTGTCCAAGGGTGTGAGGAATAATGCTGGGCGCTGTACAGTGTCAATGTAAATGTGGATTATATAAACAGTAAATACACGCCTTTTAACAGTACATATAGACATGTGCACACAGTATACAGTACAAACAGGAGAGGCAGGATAAATCTGACATATCATATCCTTCCTCTGTCCCTCTGGCTTTAAGAAGCTTAGTGTAATAGAATTAACGGCCTCAAAGCTTTTTCTGCAGCTTAACCTGATCGTAGACCTGCAGGATTCGGCAATGCATTATCACACGTAGAAGCCTTAACTACATCAGGATCAAGGCAGAGCAGACACCTCTGAATAAAACTCTGCAGAAAGAATGACTCCTAAGAAAGAAAAATCAAAAAGAGACCTCTTTGATATCTATGTAGTTTCTTCTAGACAATGAGATCAAACCGAACGTCAAATGAGACTTCTAATTAATTCTCCTGCAGACCCCAGTTATCTTACGTGTCTCCTCTTGAGTTTCACTAGAGATCTCAATCAGGTCACACGTTGTGCTCAAATTCGCCAAGAATAGTAAGACCCATGTTTATCTGCAGCTAAACTAAAGACAGGAATTCAATCATTTGTCATCCAAGACCAGGCACCTTCTCAGTTTTGATGCTGAGAACAACCAACAGGACTTCTATCTAGGCCAGAAGTAACTCATCTCTCTTTTTTGTCTAATACAATTTCCCCTGTGGAATTTCAGTCTCTTAAGCCATCAAAGATCAACAACTGAGCAATAAAATTTTCCTTTGGGGAATTGCAAAAGAAAGGGTAAAGGAAATATAAACTGTTGCTCTTCGCTTAGAAACACAATCATCCAAATCAAGAAACAAGACCAATCAATCAGCCAGAAATGTTTGTGTGCTTCAAGATGCTTCCACTTTAGTTGACATATCAAAGTAAGAAGACAGGTATCTAGGAAATACCAATGATGTTTGTAAGAACCGGTTAAGTCAGACATTTATGGTACAGTTTTTTATATCTTGTCACACCCCACATTTCAATTAACAATCACGTATGGTCAAAGCCAGCAATGTATCAATACACATTTATTCAGGATGCGATTTTCACTTCTGAGATCAGAATTGATTGAATTGAGATTCAATTCAGTTTTTGCTATTTTATTATTTTACACGTTAAACTGTCTTGATTCGGAGCTCTAATAATATACTGCACAGACTGGCCTAGCTCAGATTGGCACCAGCCCTCTATTTAATAAGCCTCAAAAACCACAATCCCCTCCTCATCGCCACCCACTTTCCTTGGATAGGATGTACCCAGATACCAGTTTTCATCACTGACATTTCCATGAAAGATAGTGAACAAAAGATGCTCAGAAAACACCAAAGGGTGAATCAGCGACACCCAACATCACTGTTTTGTTTTTCTCATATTGGATTGAAATCGTTACGAATCCTTAGCCATAACATAAGACTTATATGCTCACACTAAATGAAAATCCCATCAACATGCCCCAACATGGATGATTACACTGTACACAAAAAAAAAAACCCAGGTCTGTGAATGAAAGACGTCCAATATAGCCACTTCATTCAAAACAATATGGCTGAATCCTGAATACGCAGCAAAGATGCTGAGAAACAAGTGTGAAGCTTTGTCAACTTTTTTAACCATACTGTGTACTGAAAGTAAAACAATGAAAAGTAGATGCACCGGAAAGTGTGGACGGTACAGCTTGCCTATTTTGCAGAGAGAATTAAAAAAAATAAATTGTGCATGCATGTCGTATGAACAAAATTTAATTCTCCTACACATTTGTGTTCGAACAGAACCAGCATGTATGGGCTTTGTTACCTCACCATAAAAATGTAAACATATTTATTTTCAACACATTTTCAGTCTGTAAGTCCCTTGTTTAATTTTTTGAGTGTATGTTTTGACTAACGTGTGATAAAATGGTTCAGAAGAATACTTAACCTGCAAGACAGCTGACCAAAATTTCTCTTGAATCTCTGATTCAACCTCTGATTCAAGCTGGAGCTAGTTTGAGTAGTTAATCAAGCAGCGCCACCCCCCCCACACTGCCAAGTCAAGTTAAAATCAAATGCTTAATGCAAAAGGCACTGGTTCATGCCTTTGACACTCTACATAAGGCACTACATGTTACTATATAATAGAGGGGCTATTCTGGATTCAGCCTAAATGCCTATAGAGATCCATCAGCTGTCATCAACCCAGACTCTTGTTTAATGCAGTGGA